TATGCCATATTATTTATGTTCATTTCGAGCAAAAACATTTTCTGGCTTTGGTTATGGACATCCAACTCCGGCTTTGATACAAAAAATCGTCGACAACTACTTGCTTAAGGCTAGATCATATGCTAATGTTTGCTGGGATATAAATTGATTGTACAAATTGTTCAGTTAAGTACTTACTCACGCTTTGCGATGATTGTCTCTTGTTAGAATTTGTTTAATGTTCTATCGTTGGAATATAGCTAGGAACAATACAGTAATTCATAATAATTTTCAAATTTATTAGAATTATAATTTTTATGATTTGAAAAAATACATTAAAAGTTGCATACTATCGCAAAATATGTGGATGATGATAAATACCTAAATTAAATTTTGTTTAATTGAAGATTTAATGGGACTTGGTGAAATATCATTGTATACAATTTTAAGGTGTGTTCATAGCAATACTGTGCAACAAGGTTTTTGAGTGGTGTAAATTGTTAATTATTATGACGTGATTAATTGGTTACTTATCGCCCTATAATATATGAAGATATATCGTTATATCCCTGTAGCTTTGCTTTAAAGAAACATGTTTTCAGTTAAATCGGATGAAAAATGTTTGTTTGAACATTTCGTCCTTAAAACTAAATTCCTTCAATGTCCTTCTTGTTTCTTAAACCATTGCAAAAGTGTAACAACAAACGTGAAATCGGATGGAGATATATATGGGAGCTATATCCAAATCTGGTCCGATATCTATACAATTTAGCAGAGGTATATCTATGCTGCATTTGATATTTGGCACCAAAACCACACCTTAGATACAAAATCGGAAATTCCAAGTTTCAGCTCAATTGGTTGGAAATTTAAAAAAAAAGTTGATCTTTAAAAAATATATTTAAAAACCAGTAAAGATAGTCTTAAAGTCGGGCGGGGCCGACTTTATGATACCCTACACCACTTTGCTAATTTAGTAGAGCTCCGCATATCTACTAAATGTTTTTATGGGAGAATTCAATCATACACCCTATGATTATAATTATAATTTAAAGTTCAAAGGACTAAATATGCCGAAGCATTTGTATCTTTTAAATTCGGACTTGTATTGCCCATTTGGTGCACAATTAATTTGAAATCGGGTAAAAATATATATGGAAGCTATACCCAAATCTGAACCGATCTTGACAAAATTTGGCAAAGATATTTCTGAGTTGTATTTGATATATTTCCACAAATACTGTTATCACAGGGTGCATATTACGGCTGCGGAGGACAAAAATAACAAATCGGATGAACGATATATATATGGGAGCTATAGTTATATCTGAACCGATTTCGATCAAATTAGGCATACTCCAGACTTTGGCATACTCCATACTTTGGCCATTCCATACTATTCGGACTGATATTACACGTTTGGTGCACAATAAAAGGCAAATCGGACGAAGATATATATGGGATCTATATCTAAATTTTGACCAATTATCTCCAATTTCAATAGGGTTCGTCCTTGGGCCAAACAAATGACTTGTGCAAAATTTCGTGTGGATAGGGCAATAAATGCGAACTGTACTTTGTTTACAAAAATACATGGACAGACGGACATGCATAAATCGACTCAGAATGTGATTCTATGCAGATCATCAAAAGGAACTATGGGTCTATCTCGTTTCCTTTTGCCTGTTACAAACAAATGCACAAAGACATAATACCCTGACCACCTTGTGGTGTAGGGTATAAAAACGGGAGGTAAAGCTACACAGACACAGTACCAAATGTGGTTTAAAATTTCAGAGTTCCATACTCGTGTAATACAATGTGAGATTTCCACAAAAGGACAGACAGATGGATATCGTTTAATCGATTAAGAATTGTATGGGATCTGAGGGGTCTCAAATAATATTTCGAGATGTTGAAAAATTAATGGAATATAGTGGTTGGCTGATAAGGTCCATTTAGTCCATTGTGTTCATCCTAGGAGGAAGAAGTAGTGGTGATATGAATAGAAGATAGAGTTGTAGACATTAATTGGTTGTTGGGTTGTTTGACTAGCGAGGATATGCTTAAAGCAAACTGATAGATAATGGGATCTACTTTTACAAGCCTAGGTATCTTGTTTGAAAACATGGGAAATCTGCATAGTTGGTTATCAATCATATCTACCTCTTCTTCATTTCCATGTAGTCCACATTGGTCTTGACTAAGATTAATATAAAATTTTAAGGTCAGATTTCTAATACCGAAGGGTATGCCTGACGCGATTCTGAGATCGGACCTACTAATTGCTAGAAAGAAACAGGCCCATCTTCTCAAGAATGACGATCAGACGGCCTTAGATACCAGCCTCTTCGAAGAAAGCATTTTTGAAGCGACATAAGCGTGTAGGGGGTAATATAAGTTTGATTGGGCAATCATTTAGGTAACATCTCGAAATATTGGTCTTAGACATAGGATATTATGTATGGATTTTCCTATCTCGCCGACCTGAGTCGAGTGGGTTGTCCATGTTAATTTGTTATCTCGCTACAGGTCCCGATTCACACGAAATTTAGTATGAAGTTAAATGTATGGCTATTGATGGAGGAGATGATCGCAAAAAATGTAGGGGTTCAAATGGACCAAAAGTAGAAACATTTCCTTTTGTCCTACAGGTCTCAATTATATACAAATTCACGGGGAATTTTGCATGGGGTAAGGATGTAGGATGGGACAGAAGTCATGCTCATGGTCATCGGATAATATTTAACGTCTGAAAACGACCATAACTTTTTTATAAAAAATAAAAAAAGGAGTAAGTTCGGCCGGCCCGAACTTTGAATATCCTCCACCATTTGAAACCTTTGGCACGAGTTATGGCCTTCAAACGGCCAATGAAATCGTCACACGCTGCCCAAATGTGGCTCTGCGGTATTTTAGCCCATTCCCGGCGAAGCGCTAGCTTGAGGTGATCGACACTTTGGTAATTTTTATTGCCAACCTTTCTTTCCAAAATACTCCAGACACAATAGTCCAACGGATTGGTATTCGTAGATTTTGATAGCCATTGCGCACAAATGAAGCGAGGAACCTCATTTTGTAACCATTATTGGGTGGCGCGTGGTGAGTCCTGTTGGAACGTCTAAAGTCTGCGGCCAAAATGTTTGCGTGCACAAGGCTTCAATACACCTTCCAAAATATTTTCGCGATAATTATCGGCGAAGTAACTCTTTAGCTCTTTCAGTCTATTTTCTTTCTGTTGCGGTGTAAGTTCTTGAACTTCTTGGAATTTCAATGGCTTTACCCCGAGGTGATTTTTCAATATGGAATATTGCGATATGTTCAGCTCACGAGCCATTTTCCGGCCCCTGCGTCGGGGTTTCGATCAAGTCGCTTCTTTACTTTTCGAACTACTTCTGCTGATGTTGCTGTTTTCTTCCGTCTACTTCCTTGACGTCGGTCTACGTTACCAGTATCACGGTAACGAGCGATGGTATGAGACACAAAAGATTCATTCCCATTTAAATGCTGGAGTGCTCTAACTATAGCCACCTGTGGTTTTCCAGCCAAATATGAAGAAATCACACTATCACGCTTGAATTCCATCACGAATAACTTTTTTTCTGGAAAATTCTCACTAAAATGCTTTTGTAGGCTTGTAAACGATATAACGAGCTGCCAGTGGAATAATTTTAACCGCTGTCGGACGAGTGGCTTAGAAATGACAGCAGTTTGAGATATGAGCATCTTTGTAACGGTCATAAGTTACATTTTCGTTTATTTGTGATTTCGTCAGGATTAAAAGTTTTTGCGGTTTGGTGGAAATTTTCGTATTTTGACATAAACCTTATGTCTTATTTTACCCGTTAAATATTGTCCGATGAGCAAATGGTAGGCTTCTGACCAGCCCTAAATTCTAGCCCCATGCTAACTTCCGCGTCGTTTGGTATATAATTGCCACCTGTAGAGCAGCTGTAAAATCAGGAAATTTTCAGTTTTTGGTCCATTTCAACCCCTAAATATTTTGCGATTATCTCCAAAATAATAGGCTTCTCTTCTGACCCTAACCCTAACTCCATCTTGATTTGGTGAAGATCGGGCCACGATTGCAACCTGTAGTGTGATTACATATTAACATGCACAGACGGACGGACGAACGGCTATACATAGCTACATCGACTCAGCTCGTCGAAATAGGAAGATCCATACATAGTATCCTATGTCGGGGACCAATATTTCGTACATAATTTTTGGCCCAATCAAACTTATAGTACACCCAACACATAATGTTGTAGGGTATAATTATCCATTTCACCATAAATATAACTACAAGCTATGTTATTTCATTGCAATCCATTCAGCTAAGTAATTTCATCACCACTAAATTTTGGGAAGAATATATTTGAGATTTGATCTGGAAAACGCCAAACTCATACTTGCACTTTATTGGCGCCCAAACTCGTTTCGGTGGTGTTGAAAGAATAATAGATTCAATACAGACACTTAAATTGCTATTGTATATTTCAAGTTTTGCGCAACTAATTGACTGGAAAGATGCATTTCGACTGGATTCGAAAAAAAATATTTACTTTTTTTTTCTTAATAAATATGTATATCACTTTTATCAAGCGTGCATTAGATTTAATTTCGTTTTCTACTATTAATTATTCATAAACAAAAAGAAACTAGAAAAAAATTATTTCAAATATATTCAATAACATTTAAAAGAAATTCGATAGTAAATAGAGAAAAAAAAACAGGTTTCATGCTACTCATGTTCCATAAAATCAATAGCAATAACCTGCCCCACTGTTCCACTAGACATTCTTTCTAGTTAAATAAATAACAATCAATTGTTTTTGTTTTTTTTTTTTTCAAACTAAAACGATATTTTGTTATTGCTTTATTCGTTCAAATATCTCGAATCGATTTCGAGAATACTTTGTCCGGACCAACAAAAAAAAATGAAAAAAACAACAAATGTGCATTATAAAATATTCAATTGATTGATTTAGAAGTTTAGAGTAGTTTGGCCAACTTACCCTCCTTTGAAAAACCTTTAAAAACTTTTGCATTGTTGTTGCTGTCCATCGCATTGAAAGCCATTAAGTTTTGTTTTCGTGCAGTTGAGCCACTGCCTCGAATGACATTGTTGTCCATTTTTATTCCAGCTAAACTATTGCCAATAATGGTATCAGCTTCAACTAAACCACCACCAAGACCTCCTGCACCACCACCACCTCCACTATACATATCCGCCACAAATGGTATATCTATTTGGAGTAGAAAACAAAAGGACATCGCAATACAGAATGATCAATCATTTTTCCACCTCTTCCTCCAACCCCTCCCCACCCATGGAAAAGCCATTCATTGCATTTCCGGCGCCAATTTACCTGTAGCTTTGTTGGTCTTTTTCATTTCCATAATTTCATTATTTGGTATGAATTTGAATTTGCCACGAAATCCTTTTGCCGTTACATTGGAACTGGCATTGAATTCGATTAAAAGATCCGGCCCCGTGCTGAGGATGTGTCGGTTGCCGCTCGACGAATTGCCACACAGGACATCGATTACAGCGTTCATGTTGAGCGATTCAGCATCGAAGATGGTTAGCTTGTCTAAATTGCAACTGTAAGTTATTTGTACAGAAAAAATAATTTAATTTGAAAGATGCTTTTTTTTAGTTAAATACCTTTCACCATCTCTGGGAATTTCCAATTCTTCGAATATAAGTTCAACACGGGTTTCAGGCCTGAAAATTACATAATAATAATAAAAGATACAAAATAAGAAGTAGCAAGTAAAAAAGCAGTAAGTTCGGCAGGGCCGAGCATGAAAACCCGTTATGTGGGGTTTATACGATATTTTGGACCTATATAGACAATTCCCTTTCAGGGGGTAAAGTGCCCACAAATAACTCCTCGTGTGGATTTTCAGACTATTCTATTAGAAAATGTGGCTAAAATCATCAAAATACGGGGGTACCGTTATGTGGGGGCTATACGATATCGTAGATCTATATAGATAATAATAAGATAATAATAACGGAATGACGAACTTAATAAACCTTCCATACTATGTATGGTGGAGGGTATAAAAACGACGTTAAGCTCAGTAGAGTCAAAGTTTTTGTACAGATCCAAACAAACATTTTGGAGCCGAATAGAACATTAAAAGGCAGATGGACGAACACATAGTAATACTACAAGGGCATATAATTTTATCCTGATCAAGAATACTTTAAAGGGTCTAATATGAGTACTTCGTTCGAATAAAAACTTAAGACAAAAACAAAATGAGACATTTCGAAAATACTTGTATTATACCCTCTGCATAAACAGCAACCTAAAAATAATGCCAAATATATATGCCCTGCATTACCAGTAAGCTGAAAAATAATGGATTGTTCCTATAAAGCATTCATGGTAAAATATTAATGATTTTTTTTGTCAAAATCCCGTGGGAATCACATTACAGCCACCGTAGCTGGAAAAGGTGACCAGGATATCCAAGAAATTCTAGAAAGGGACTGTCGCACTATTGAGGCAAAACCCTTCCAAAATTAGAGGAGAGGATCTGCCTCGAAAAAAGAATAAGAGGCCGAAATATAAGGTTTAAAAAAATTAAAAGCTGTATCTTCGGCCGGGGCGAACTTTGAATACCATCCATCATTTGGAACCACTTTGGAAATTTTTTTAACAAAAAAATAATAATATAATAATAATAATAATAATAATAATAATAATAATAATAATAATAATAATAATAATAATAATAATAATAATAATAATAATAATAATAATAATAATAATAATATAATAATAATAATAATAATAATAATAATAATAATAATAATAATAATAATAATAATAAAATAATAATAATAATAATAATAATAATAATAATAATAATAATAATAATAATAATAATAATAATAATAATAATAATAATAATAATAACAATAATAATAATAATAATAATAATAATAATAATAATAATAATAATAATAATAATAATAATAATAATAATAATACAATAATAATAATAATAATAATAATAATAATAATAATAATAATAATATAATAATAATAATAATAATAATAATAATAATAATAATAATAATAATAATAATAATAATAATAATAATAATAATAATATAATAATAATAATAATAATAATATAATAATAATAATAATATAATAATAATAATAATAATATAATAATAATAATAATAATAATAACAATAATAATAATAATAATAATAATAATAACAATAATAATAATAATAATAATAATAATAATAATAATAATAATAATAATAATAATAATAGAATAATAATAATAATAATAATATAATAATAATAATAATAATAATAATAATAATAATAATAATAATAATAATAATAATAAAATAAATATAATAATAATAATAATAATAATAATAATGATAATAGTAACAATAAATAAATAAAAAATTCTGTTAAAATCATCAAAATACCGAATATAGGGAGGTACGCTTATACGAAGGCCTATACATGCATAGATAATTTTCTGTTATAGGCTGTAGTACCCATTAGGAACTTCAAATACCTAATTTGAGAAAATTCCGGAAGATAATGCTGCTAAAATCATCTGAAGACCGAATATAGGGGGTACCTTTATATGGGGGCTATACGAAGACCTGGCCCTGTATAGAAAATTTTTTGTCACAGACTGAAGTATTCATAAGGAACTTTAAATACGACATTTAAAACAAATCTGCTAAATAATGCATCTAAAATCAAGACGATACCGAATTTAACGAGGTACCGATATATGGATGTCATACGAAGACCTGGACCTGCATAGACAATTTTCTTTCAGAGAGTGTGGTACATATTAGCAACTTTAAACACATAATATGAAACAATTCCGATAAATAGTGTCGCTAAAATCATTATTTATTAAAAGGAACAAGGGAGGTACGAAGACCTAGACCTGGTATAGACAATTTTCTGTCATAGACTCTAGTACTCATTAGGAACTTCAAATACGAAATTTGAAACAATTCCGATGAATAATGTCGTTAAAATCATCAAAATACCCATTTTTAATACGAAACACACATTTGGGTAAAATTTCATCCACCTACTTTAATTCGTTCGGAATCTGGAGGAAGTGGACGGAAGAAAACACCAACATCAGCAGAAATGGTTCGAAAAGTAAAGAAGCGACTTGATCGAAACCCGCGTTGCTGTGGCCGAAAAATGGCTCGTGATCTGAACATATCGCAATATTACATTCGGCAAATATCGAAAAATGAGCTCGGGGTAAAGCCATTGACATTCCAAAAAGTGCTAGAGCTTACACCGCAAGAGAAAGAAAATAGACTCAAAAGAGCTAAAGAGTTGCTTTGCTTGGCCGAAAGTGGTGAACTGCCGAATGTGGTTGTCTCCGATGAGAAAACATTCGTTATCCAGCAGTTTGTAAACAAACAAGATGATCGTGTTTACTTGCCAAAGAGGTTAGCTGAAAATGTGCACCTTCGGTTGGCCACAAGAACTCAAGCGCCGGCTATGGTGATGGTGTGGGCCGCCATTGAAGGCCATAATTGGCCGTTTGAAGGTCATAATTCGTGCCAAAGGTGACCAATTCGAACAAATCTAAGCTTATTCTAAAAGCAGGACAATTTATTCTGTCCTCCAAGTAAAACATAATTCTCCTACAACTTATTTTACGTATTGAAAAATTATCTTTCGACTTACCTTCCTATAAATTTATATGAACACTTGATGTGGGCAGGATATTTGGCTGGAAATCGTGGGGAATGAAAATTCTTCCATATTTCCAGTGCTTTGGGTGAAACATCCGGATTGGCAAAGAAGTAATAATCGCAATAGGTGCCGGGTATAAGGCGTCCATCATTCTTAAAGCGTTCTGCGAAAAAGAAAATCCAGCACAATAACAACTCACCTCACATTCCCCCTCCGCCAAACACCCATTCGTCAACTTACCCTTTTTTAAAAATCGATATTCAACGGTGACATTCAAATTCCAATTATCGATTTTCTCTTGCAATGGCTTTGCCTCCTTATCGCCTGGTGAAGATGTCGCCGGCAGAGGTGTTGGCGATGGGGGCAGTTGTTTGTTATTGAAACGTAAACGCACAGCAAACACTTTGCCTGAACTATAAATAAATTGATGAGGTGATAAATCATGCGAATTCATGAGGGTCGTGGTAGAAATGTTGCCAAGCGTTGTCACATTGGGAAGGTGGCCAATATTAGATATGCTGCCAGAGGGAGGACTGGATGTTGCAGTAGCGTTACTTAGTGGTGGTGGTGACGTTGTTGTGACATTTGTGGTAATGTTGTTGGATTTCGCTACATGAAAGGAGGCAGTCGTGCTGGCTGTGGTGCTGTAATTGCAGAATATATACTCAGGCTGTGTGGTGTTCTCAACAACTGCTTCACGTAAATATGGAAAAATTTCAATGTAATCCAAACAGCTGCAAATATCAAGATGAGATGGCAAAAAATAAAAAAAAAAATTGAGAACAAACGGAAACGGAAGCTATAAAAAGCAAAACTAACAACTACAAATTGCCTTGAATATTGAAAATAAAAATAAGTTGTTTTTGTATGTAAATTTTTATTGATTTATTTGAATGGTAAATAATACGTAACAAATTTAGAAATATATATTTTCTTTCAATTCTCTTCCCCTTCTGGCATATCTTTACGTTTCCTCACACCACATAACAAATGACAGAAAGCCGGATAATCAATCATGGGAGGATCTTCTAAGTTTTTGGGCTTGGCCAATGGAGCATGTTTCAGAGCTGCTTTGGCTTCTGAATCGGAGAGACGATCTCCATAACTTGTCAATTCTTCAAACATTCTGTAAAACAATATTTCATTAAGTATTTGGATTTAAAACTAAGTTCCTTTTTTTGTTTGTGAGTTTGTGCTTCAAATTACCTTTTTTCTTCAATTTTTCCAGTCCCATATAAATCCCATTTACTCCATGCCTCCAGAAGCACATCTTCGGGATCTAGCTCGACTGTTCGAAAACTCATCAGTTCTACAAAGGAGTCCAAATTTAGAGGGTCTTTAGCCTGAAAGGAAATTGTTTTGGATTTAAAAATGCGAATATTAAGACTTAACTAATATGACGTAAGGTATTTTACAAAATGAGGAATTATTTTAAAAAATGTCGGATCTGGGACTCAAAACCCCAATCCTCAACGTGTGCCTATTTTTTGAGGTGTGGTCACTGGGCCTTATAGTTTCGAAAATTAGGTTAACCAGTTAAGACTTTAAAATGGAATTCGCGAGGCTGTCAAGGACATAAAGCAGCCTCTTTGCTATTTGGTTATTTTAAATTTCATGGAAAGGATATGACACTGAAAGCGAGCTGATATTGTTTGTATTATTAACATGTTTATTATTACGAAACAAGCATCGGATCATTTACCTCAAAAATGAAATATTTCATTGAATTTAAAACCATTGGTAAGGATCCGAACTCATTTTGAGTTTATATTTTGTAGATTTTCAAATATACAATTAAATATATTTTATATATATATATCAGAACTCCGGCTGAGAGAACATAAAAATTTGAGCAACTTCTGGGAAAAGCTTATAAATGTAGTACGAATAAATGATAAAATTATTTTTCTAAATTAGTGTTATATGTGAGGTCCGTTTGGATTTTTTTTTTACGGAATTGTCTCGAAGAATTTATGTTAGATATATTTCTTTGGCAAGATATTAATTATTCTTTGAAAAGTACATATTTTCACTTCCAAATCAATAACATTTTTTATTTACTTGAAAATCTTGAAAAGAGCTCTTACATCCCATACGAAACACTCATTACTCTGACTTTTTTTTTTGGGAAATTTTTTTGAATCGAGTTTATAATTATTCCCTCCACCATGGAATGGATTAGCATAAAATTCTATGTCGATTTAGCCATGACCGTCAATCAGTCTGTATGTATGGCTTTCTGTGGAACACGCTCCAGCTTCCAAATGAAATAAAAAAGGGTGGATATTTTATCTAGATGTTTTCTGCATGATTTTTATACACTCCACCATACTATGGAGTGTATATTAACTTTGTCATTCCGTTTGTAACTCATCGAAATACTCATGTCAGACTAAACAAAGTATATATAATCTTGATCAGGGTAAATTTTAAGTCGATTTAGCGATGTCCGCCTGTCTGTCCCCATAAAACGGTGCCTCTCAATATTCGGTATTTTGATGATTTTAGCGTCATTATTCACCAGAATTGTTTCAAATTACGTATTTAGAGTTCGTAATGGGAACTATAGTCAGTGACAGAAAATTGTCTATACAGGTCCAGGTCTTCGTATAGGGCCTTACATCAGTACCTCCCTATATTCGATATTTTGACGATTTTAGGTACAATACCCACCGAAATTGTTTGAGTTGTCGTATTTGAATTTCGTATTGGATGCTACAGCCTGTGACAGAAAATTGTCTATGCTGGTCCAGGTCTTCGCACAGCTCCGATATAACGGTATCTCCCTACATACCATATTTTGATGATTTTAGCTTCACCGTTTATTTCTAGTTTCGAATTTAAATATGGTAATGGCTTATGACAAAGAATGCCTATGTAAGTCCACGTTTTATAAACCCCAATATAACGGCTATATTCGGTTAAATTTTAACAGAATTTTTTAAGGATTTTATTTTTTGAAAATTTCCAAATTTGTTACAAATGGTGGAGGGTATTCGAAGTTTAGCCGGCCGAACTTACTGCTTTTTAACTTGTACTGGCAGATTTAAAAACAAATTAAACATAATTGGATATTTTAAGGGAGATATACCAAGTTTGAAAATCATCGCTGACTTGTTCCGCAAGTTATGACAGATATAAATAATGAAAATTGGGACGCTTTGTGGGGAATTTTCACACAAAAAATTGTGTTAGTAGAAATATTAGAATGAGCAAAATTTAGAAATAATCGTATATTATAAGCGTTTTGTTATTAAAATTGTTGACTCCTTTGTATGGGAGGTGGGCTGATATATTCTATCTCACTTCAATTCCTGTGTTAATTAAAATATTGAGACGTACCAAATTTAAGGACAATCGGATAGTTATTTTGAATTTAATCAGAGTTTTAACTGTTAATCAAATTTTTAACCTTTTATAGGGGAGATATGAGAACGAGTGGGCTGATAAATTCCACATTTACATAAGATCTCTGGTTTAAGAAAAATATTAAGATATACCAACTTTGAAAAAAAATTCTCTGAAAAATCGTTTCACATCAGAAATCAAATGCTTTCGCATTCTATGAGCATTTTGGTTATTAAAAATGTTAAATCCTTTGAGGGGGGATACCAGAAGAAGTGGTACCTCTAGATCTTTCATAATTCAAAATATGAGGATGTGTGAAATTTGAACAGAATCGGTTGCTTATTTCAAAATTCATGAGAGATATAATTATTCAAAATGTTTACCCGCTGGTCAGTACAATATATATTTTATCTTAAAAACTTATAGGCCATTGGACCCTTAGTTCACATTTTATAAGGGTTATAGTTATTCAAAAAGTCAACTCTTTCTGGACGAGAAACTTAATTGAGTGTGCCGATATTGTCCTATTTGAACCTGATCCAGCACTGATACAAAATATTGGTATTTGCAAATTTTGAAAAAATTGGATGATCCTGTCATGTTCTATTTGGAAAATTACTTTCTATGAAAATGTTGAGCTTTTGTAGTTTGACGAGAGTTATCATGTGCAACAGCCAGACGGACCTAGATAAATTCCAAATGTCCTGAAACTAATTTGATCCAAAGAGACCTAGGGTCTAAAACCGTTATTTCGATAAAACACGTTTCGACCGTATTAAATGATATATACCTATTTATAGCTAGAAATTTATTTTCCATTTTAATAAATACATTAAGAATGAAATAATTATGTATTTAAAAAAACTTTATTCCTAGATATATTATTTATTCTGAGACTTATGGCGAAATTTGATGTAGATTATTTCCTCCTTAATGGTTAAATGGTTAAATTATAGACCAAAATGAAGATTTTTGACACGAAATGTTAGCGAACTCTTTAAACAAAGTTTGTCAAAAACATAATAGCTAAAAAATCACCCCTCGTTTAAATAATAGGTCCAAAAAATATCTGATTTTCTTCAATCTTATCACCTTGAAATATTTTTGCCTTGTAAAAATTTATTATCTTCAAACTTATTTAAATATATAAGATCAAGTAAAAACGTGGGATATATTGGTTAACTCGTTCTGTAAATATATCTGATAAAATGAGTCTAATGCCGTATATAGTTGAACTTTGGAGCGCCCAATTAGAACACAATATTGAGATCGGAAATATAAGATCAAGTAAAAACGTAATGATAAACAGTTTTTTCTTGCCTAGAATTAGAAGGCATGTGGTTTCAACAAGACGGCGGCATTTATCGCAACAATTATCCAAAACGGTCATTGAAAATTTTGTTAAAATATCACATGTGTGCTAGAAAAGCTTGTAGGATATCTGTTCCACACACAACTTTATTCTGTCTTCTTTACGATGTATTAACGTTTCACAATTTTATTGTAAATATGTGTGAGTTCTAGTTGGGAAACCCTTTATATTTATTAGACTTAGGTCAGGAGTGAACATTGGAAATATTAACCAACTGTTTTCATACCTTTCCCCAAATGGTAAATTTTTTCGCATTAACCGTTGGTCCGCACAAAGGATAACAAATTTTAATAATAAAAAATTTTGCACAATTTCTATAGTTCTTCAAGAAACTGACTGATGTTTGCTATCGGAGTATTCGCAACTTATCTTACTTAAATCAATTTCTTTTTCATATTTTCCAACCGATTTCTGTAATCAGGGATTTCATACTCATATTGTGACCAATCGCAATAATTATCAAATAAGGGCTCCTTATGATAGAGCGTATTTTTGAAAAAAATGTTAAATATGTCAGTTTAATACAAATTGTGTAATTTCTGATGTAATTATTTCATTAAAATGTAAATATATATTAGCCTCTCCTACCAGTTGCGTTTTTTTATAATATTTTAAATTATTTCTCATTGATTTTCGTATTTCAACTTACCTCTTTTAGCATTTCCTCCAATAACTCCTCGGTCGATTCACAACCCAAGGCTCCAAATGTGAAACGTAGATCATCCTTTGATATCAAACCATCGCAATCGGTATCGAATAATAAAAATACCTACAACATGGTATTCAAACAATTTTAATCCATTTGAAATTTCAAAACATTCACTTAAATTACTTCTTTTAATTCGGCCAATTTTCGTATGTCTAAATCTCGTTCTGCATCAAAATCCTCTGGAGACATTTCCTCTGGTGGCCGATAGGGACCCGAGCTTACTGGTATTTTTAGTGTGGGATTAAATATTTCATTAATCGCTTGCATGGCTTCCGATTCCGTTTCAATTGGCTGCGGAGTGGAGGGTTTACGTGCGGCAGCAACTTTTTGGCGGCGCTAAACGAAGTATTTAAATTTTAATTTTCTTTTTCCTACTAATGCTAATTGACAAAATAAGTATTCGTACCCTTTCCAAATCATCGTAGGAAATTGCATGTTCACTGGTCATTTTGGCACAACAAACACTTGCTGTTGACACGAATATTAATTTCAAATTCAAATTTTCGGTTTTTAAGGATAAGGGAAACAATTATTTTTGTTTTGTTTTTAAGGTTATCCTTAAAAGGACTATTTTCTTTAAATATATGTAATTTTTTGTTCACAGGATATAACTAAAACAGCACCGATTTATATTTTCTTTATTATCCTTTTTGGACGCTCACGTATGTTCACTTACGACCGAGTTCCGAAACTTAACTAAATTTTGTGCATCACAATTTGTCTTTTAATTCAGCAAATCGATCATTGAAGCAACAAAATTTATGATCAGATTTTGGCGATTTTTTGTTTACACATCAAGATTGACACAAATTCTGACATACATATTTTAACCGTGTTGAGGAATATTTGAGGAAAACAAAAATAAAGCCAATTGATTTTTGTCACTGTGTGTGTGTGTGCGGAAAGGTTTATTCAACTCTGACAATTTGTATGCAAAGCATATAATTACAAATATATGTGTAAGACATCATCCTCCTGAGAGAACTAAGATGAATGTCATCGTTCTCTATTCGCAGATTGAACGCTAAAGATGTAATCAGTGATAGATGTTTCTTTCTTTCTGATGGAATGCATTTGATTAAATTTTTATTTGAGAAATATAAAGTAAAGGAAAAGGTGGTTCTACATCGGGTTTGGGCGCCTATAAGGTCTACCATTTGGTCCCTGATTAAAATCCTCTTCTTGAGGTCAAAAAAACTATTTTTGATGTCCACTATTATAACATGTGAAAATTTGGATTTTTATACCCTACAGCACATAGTGGTAACGGTATTATGTATTTGGGCATTTGTTTGTAACATGGAGAAGGCAGACCAATAGTTACTTTTGAGGATCTTCATAGAATAACTTTCTAAGTCGATTTATGAATGTCAGTCCGTCTGTTTATGTGTTTTTGAGAACAAAATGCAGGTTGCATTTATTATCCGATTGAATTGAAAATTTCCTAACAATATTTTTTGGCCCAAGGACGAACCCTATTGAAGTTGGTGAGAATCGGTTCAAATTTAGATAACGCTTCCACATATATCTTCAACCGATTTCGGGTTAATTGTGCCCCAAATAGCCAATATCAGTCCAAATGACCTAAATTTCGGCATGTCCGATCGAGTTCAGTCTAGAAGCAAGTATATGAAATGTGAAGAAAATCTGTTCAAACATAGCTATAGCTCCCATATATATGTTTCATTCGATTTGGGGTTTTAAGTCCTTCACATGCGTAATATGTATTCGACAAAAATGATATTTGGTACCAGACAACTCCTGGAGCTTAAAATACCTCTATCAAATTTTATCAATATCGAATGAGATTAGGATATAGCTCCCACATATATCTTTATCCGATATTAGGTTTATTGTGCACCAAATGGCTATTATCAGCCCATATTGATTGCATTTTGGCACTTCCATCTGAATGCAGCCTAGAAGCAAGTACTTTAAATTTTGGTGAAAATCGGTTGAGAGAAAGCTAAAGCTCACATATATGTGTTTTATCCGATTTGTTGTTAAAGTTCCTCACATGCGTAATATGCACTTCACAACAATGATATTTAATGCAGGGTATAAAATACTGTTCGAAAATACCTTTGAAAGTTTTTATCGTGATGGGTTCAGATTTTTATATAGCTTCAATATACATCTTCATTCCGTCTGTAGCACCTCTAATAATTCGTCGTAAACACCATAAAGTATATATATTCATGATCAGCATAAAATTCAATTTTTCAATATTTATTTTATTCAATGAATATTTTTGTAATAAAATCCGCACTATTTCTGGTACATAGCATGACCTACTTCACATAAATTCCCAATATAAGTTTTTTATACGCTCAGCCATATGGCTACAGAGGATAACGGTTTTAGACCTTATGTACCTTTGGACCAAATCCGTTTCAGGACATTTGGAGTCGATCTAGCGATGATCGTCCGTCTGTCTGGCTGACGCATGATAACTCTCGAAGGGAATATCCGATTTGATCCAAACTTGGTACATTGTAATTTTATTGTCAAACTTAGATCAAGTTCGGAGATGGGCAATATCGGTCCATTCCTTCTGGTACCTCCCCCACAAAATATCAATATTTTAACTGCACAGAAAGAGAAAGGATAATCCAATGTGCTCTAACTTTGCATATCCTAATATTTGCATCAATGCTAGGTCAGGTGCGAAAATGGACAATATCGGTCCACTCCATCAAGTATCTCCCCCATAAACGGTCAAAATTTTGAATAATTACAACTCGTATAAAATGTGATATAACAGTCCGATTGTCTTCAAATTTCACACATCCCAATATTTTTATCAACCCATGGTCTGGTGTTAGGATGGAATATATCGGTCCGCTCCTTCTGGTACCTCCCCCACAAAAGGTCGAAGTTTTCAAAATATATATTTTCCAATATTTTTATAAACCCAAGATCTGGTGTTAAGATGGAATATATCGACCCACTCATTCTGGTACCTCCCACACAAAAGGTCAACATTTTGAATATCCATTAAGTTCATAAAATGCGAAATTGACATCCGATTCTTTTCAGACTTGGTACATCTCAATATTTCTATAAGCAGAAGGTCTGTTATGGTAGAGATCGGACCATTCCTTCTGGTACCTTCCCCACAAAGGGTGAAAGTTTTGAATAACTTAAACTATCATAAAAACAGAAATAAGTAGCCAGTTCTCTTATATTTCACACATTCCATTATTTATACTAAAACAAGATTTGTTATGGAGATGGGATAGATCGGTCCTCTCCTTCTGGTCAAGGGTCAAAATTTTGAACATCAATGAAGCTCATAAAAAGCGGGATTAACATCCGATTCCATTCAGACTTGGTACATCGCAATATTTCAATCAACACAAGATCTATTTGATGATGGTAGAGATCAGACGATCCCTTCGGCTACCTCCTCCACATAGGGTTCAAGATTTAAAAAAACAAAACGCTTAAAAGAAATAAGCATCCAACTCTCTCCAACATACAAACTTTTCTGCTAGCACAAAATCTTTTGTGAAGATGATATATATCTGTGAATCCCATTCTGCTACCTTACCCATAAAGGGTCCCAATTTTCAATACTTTTATCTGTCATAACTTGCGAAACAAGTCAGCGATTCTTTCTATCAACCAGAAATATGAATATTGAATTTATAATTTCACATAAAATTGGATCAAAATGTTCACTTCTCTTGTAATTGAAAATTAAACACGTCGGTCCACTATATTTTCTAAAAACTATCAGATATTTCATATAAAGTGAAGGAAGTAACCAATATAGTAACCAAACCTTATTGAGGAACCTACTCCATAGAGGGTCAACAATTTAAATAATCATACCAGAAATCAAGATATATTTAAATAGTTGAACATTTGCTGAGGGTATTCAGCCGACTGATACCTATTAACTTCTTTTGCATACAATTGTATTTCCAGGAAAATATGATTACGAGGCTAATTTGTAATAAAATATTCCGTTTCTATGGCCCTCGTACCATTAGTTATCATAGTTTCAAAATTTTCTGATTTTGTAGCGAATTCAAATTTCCGCATATGTTTATTTAAGGTATTCCAACTCAATTCATTCATGTTCCACCGTATAGCGCATTACCTCTTAAACAAGTAACAGCAATTGATATATTTCCACAGCTGCATTTATCGAATCATTTCCACAACAAAATCAAAAAAACTATGTATGTGTATATGCACTCGAGCCATGCAGTAGGAATAGCGAAAATTTACAAAATTGAAATGCTTTAATTCTCAAGATTGATGGATGCAGATGAAGTGGAACAAAATTTAGATACTCATCTTGAACATAGAAACCAACCATAAAGAACAACGAGAAATTTGGAATATTCTGGTCAATGTCTTTATAAATAATTACATACAAATAAATGTGTGCCTGTGTGTGTTTGTTGGTTGTGAAAACATACAATTTGTATTGAATGATTAAAATGTATGTTTGCGCCCACTTAATTACAAGTAAATAGTTGATAAAATATTTTTATGAACCATTATTTTGTGTCAATCGTGTGAATTTATGGATTTTGAAAGGAATTGCATTGTAGTACTTCAGAGACACATTTTAATCTGGTTAAACGATAATGTTTTTAGAGTTTGTCATTCCGTTTGTAACATCGAAGTATACATTTTAGAATCTATATTCTTGATCAGTTGTGGAATTTTTAAATCTTTCTTTTGAGTTATCGACAAAAGTTGGTAAAATTAAATTGAATAAAATTAAAAGTTCAGTAATTAACCAAACTTGTAGGTAAGTTAGCGACGAGATCAAAGTAGTCGGTAAAACCTACCGATAGATACCAATGTTGTCAACTTTAACTCTGTTTAACTTTTTTACATTGGGTTTCAACTCACCGATTTTTGTCGTTATCTCAAAAAAATAGTTAGAGAATCCCACTACTGCATAAAATTCTATATCGATTTTTTGCACAATATTTGGTATTGAAAATTGGCTATAGGTGCTCGTTTTAGTGTAGGTCGCATATAACCATTCCTACAGATTTAAGATTTTTTGGGTGTATGTGTTTCCAGTATGTACGAAACGTCATTGCAGAGAACTGTACACACACGTCCATGTTTTGGACCCCATTTACATATTCGGTATTTTGATGATCTCTCTGATCGTTTTCAACAGAATTGTTATTTCTTTAAAGTTCGTAATGGGTACTACAACCTATGACAGAAAATGCCCTGTATAGATCCACACTTTCGTATAGCCCCTATATAACGGTCCCTCCCAATATTCCTCATTTTTATTAATATTAGCTCCATTTTCAACCGAATTATCTCAAAATTTTTATCTGCAATTCGTAATAGGCACCGTTTAGTGTAGACCAGATCCACGTCTTCGTATAGCCCCCATATAACGGTACCTCCCAGTATTTGGTATTTTGATGATTTTAACGACATTATTCACCGGAATTGCTTCAAATTTGGTATTTGAAGTTCGTAATGGCCTATGACAAAAATTTGTCTGTGCAGGTCCACGTTTTGGTATACGTTTTGATGATGCAGGTCCATGTCGTATAGACCCTAATATAACGGCTACATTCGGTATTTTTAAGTTTTTGAGAGAATTTTTAACGGATTTTATATATGAACGAAAGTTCTCAAAATTGTTATAAAAACCCGATTTAAAACGAATATGTTTGAATACTAACAATTCCATTGTAAGTTACATTTCTTTAACAAAAACAGGCTGTTCGTCCATTGTTTTTCTATCTATGGACAATTTCAGTTTGTCTCTTCCTGATAACCAAAAACGAGCACATTGCGTAAATTTAATATGTTTTATAGAAATAACAAAGATGACAAAGTCGGCAAATAGTTTAATTCTCACTTCGAATCAGAGTGAACTAATGTATGAGAAGTATATCCAACTCAGAATCGATTTCCACCAAATTAGACGGATGCCTATCGTACCAAATAACATAGTTATAGTGTGCATGATATGACTTCGAGAAGTATTATATTACAACATATGTATCGGAGCAATAGATAAATGTGAACCATGATTTATAAAATTAAAAAAATGCCACAAAATGCGTAACAAACCATCCAAGTTGGGCTTATATTACATATTTTGTGCACAATAACCGGATATATATATGGAAGCAATATCCAAATCTCAAACGATCTCGGTTAAATTAGACATGAATATTTCTGGGCTGTATGGAGCTATCTTGTACCAAATATCATAGTTTTGAAAATGTGAGGGCCGATTTTCACCAAATTTTAGTATTTGCTTCTAGGCTGAATTAGGTGCTAAGCTTTTCTCCACACTCTACCAAGATAAGTACTATTTAGTACCTTTTGCACCTAATCGCATTAGTTGTGGATACCAAAACTTACAATTCCAGTTCTATACCTGAACTATATGTCTAATTTTGTACTATTTAGTACTTTTCATACATTTGATGTACACGAATTAAAAATTGCATTATACCAAATTTAGTACTTGCAATTGGTACACATTTCCAAAATCAACTATTTACATCATCCCCACTTGATTCTCGTACCAATTTTCAAGATTTTTACCTATATCCGATCAAATTATTCCAACTTTTCGTATAGCCCCCAAATTTTGATTTTTCGCCACAATTTTTATTCATTTGTTTGAAATTTTGATTGGATGTTCCTAATGACAGAAGTTACGCATACCCCTCGAGTATTGGAATATCGGCAATTTTGACATATTTTTACATGAGTTACTTTTCATATGATGAAAATCAAATACTTTTTTAGATCCATTTGATACTTCTGAACCTATGGCTTCCATAAACGGATCCTAGTACGTAAAAATGCTTTCCCCCAAATCATTAAAATGTTCTGCAAAAAAGCCAGAAGTTCGCCTTTTGTGTATTTCGGATATCGCCTGTAAGTAATGTTGGAAATTTTCCACACATCTACATTCTACCCGCTGTTCTTAACTCAAACTTCATGCGAGATTTCGTATCCATTAGTTTCTATCTGTGACCTTTATAACGGCAGCAAAATCAGGAACATTTTAAGATGTTGGTCCATTTTAACCCATAAATATTGCGGACATCTTTGAAAACAATAGGCCTAGCCCTTCTGAGTCTAACCCTACCCTTATGAAAATTTTCGTGAGGATCGGACGATAATAGCAATCTGTATATAATAACCCCAGCCTGTGTTGTAAGATGAAAAAATATTACAAAATGTACACTTCAATATTATAAGTCAAATTGAAAAAAACGCATGCGATAAAATATATGAAAAAATAAAAATATGCCACAAAATTATACAAAATCTATATTAAGATCATTATTGGCATATTTTTATGCGATTTTTTTAGATTTTTTAGTTTTATGCCAAGAGGGCATTCTGAATTGACAGAATTTGTCCAGCCATTCTTGAGATATGAGCATTCTAACTAACATCCCCTCCTTTTGTATATACACATTGTATATATTTCGCTAGATATATCCGATATATTTACTATCGGCATCTACGTTACGGTCAGAATTGACCTCTTCGCCAATTTGTGATTTCGCCGGGTTTAAAAATATTCGCGGTTTAATATAAAATTTGACTTTTATTTAACAGAAATTTTATGGTCCATTTCACACACTAAATATTAACCGATGACCACCAAAATTGGAAGGCTTCTGCCCAGTCCGAAGCCTAGCCCCATGCTAACTTCCGCTTCTATTGGTCCATAATTGCGTCCCGCAAAGCAACTGCAAAATCAGTAAATTTTTCAGTTTTTGGTCCATTTCAACCCCTTAATATTATGCGATCATCTCCAAAAGCAATAGGGTTCTATTCTGGCCCTAGCTCCACCTCCATTCTAAATTTCGTGAAGATCGGGCCATAATTGCGACCTGTAGAGTGATTACAAATTAACATGGACAGACGGACAGAAGGACTGACGGACATACATAGCTAGATCGACTCAGGTCGGCGAGATAGGAAGATCCCTATATGGGAAACCAATATTTCGAGGTGTTACATAATTTTTGGCCCAATCAAACTTATAAAAAAAATGAAGATCTCTAGAAGTCTAATAATAGTTGGTATCCAAAACGCCAAAAGGATGTTCATAAAAGTCTCATTCACAATTGTTTTCCATTTCAAAATCCAACAAATTTATTATCCACATATGTGGCGCCACTAAATCAACGCAAACTTATTGAATAAATGACGCATTTAAACGCTAACAGGTGTCGTAGCTCGAGCATTGAATGAAGTGACGTTATTTATGAATACAAAACAACAGCAGCAAGGAAACATAACTCTTTAAAATGTCATAAAATCAATTAGGTCTTTAACAAAAACCAAATAAACTATTATAGCCAAAAATGAGAAGAAGAGAAAAAAACTTACTTGGGTCTTAGATGCAAATGTTGAAAACGCAATGAAATGATTTCCTCATTCGTTCCAATGACGAAGATGATGTAGCAATCGTTTTTGGCATGACGAGCCATTGAAGCATTCACAGCAACAACGGTTGGCATCTTCGATGTGCCGTTGTGATCTTGAGCTTGTAAACAAGAACATTCTATGGATGGGATGGATGGAAGAGGCAATAAATAATGATAATAACAACAAGGAAGATTTATGCAGGAAGACCTTCGATTGTTGGGTTACCTAGGAAGAGATTTTTATTCGCTGAGGTTGGCGTCGTTTTGCCATGGACAAGCCAATTGAGGGCCATTAGCATGTGCATTACAATTAATAATATGTTCATTATTTTTATTTAAATTTATTCTATTCTTTAAAAAACAATTTTTTACACTTTCACTTTTTCAAAGAGGCACTTCTTTTGTTATTTTTTTCTCCTTTCTCTTCAAACGATGCCAACAACAATAAACTCGCTGTTTCACGTCTAAAATACGTCACGTTCTAATGATAACTAAACCGTGTCTGTGCACCGGCAAAATTTTTACAGTTAATATGTTCCTGACTGGAGGATTTCTCCAATACAACAACAACAACAACAATAAAGTTGAAATAAACCCTAATCGGTCAATCTCCTTGTTTCACTTTTTATCTAAGCTCCACTTGAGTTTACGTTCATAAATCCTCCAATCGAACACAAACGACACACACATGCATGGTTAGTGAGTAAGTGTGTGTGTCGGTTTGTTGGTGTGTCACTTTTTTCTAGCTGGATAGGAAACGGAAATAGCATTATGTGGCCACATCACTTTAGTGTTTATGGAGCAACAAACATACATGATTGCGGTCTATCCAGTGTCTGTTGATGGGCTTAAATAATAGGTTGTAACACCATACACGTCCAAGATTTGTTTCCCGTGCCAATCGGTATTTTTAAAAAAAAATTGAGATGATTTGATTTAGAGCCATTTTCCCTAAAAATATATTTTAAAGACAATTTTCTCAACCAGTACTATTTTTTTAGCATTTTCTTTTCGAGTCTTGCATTTTCAAGGCTTCCAAATCGTGTGCTAATATTAGTACTAAGCCTATTAAGAAATTAAGCAAAATTATAAATTTACGAAATTATAAATTTTATTTGCTTTTTTTATACCCTCCACCATAAAGGAGGAGTTCCTACTGAGTATTTTATCCTGTGGAAGAAAATTGTCTATATAGGTCCACAATATCGTATATACCCCATATGACGGTTCATTCTATGTGATTTACCCTCTGGAAGAGAATGGTCTATAGGTCCACGGTATCGTATAGCCCCCATACAATGGTACCTCCACCTCCACATATTCGGTACTTTGATGATTTTAGCCACATTATTAACCGAAACTGACATATAATTACATATGCAGGACCACGTCTTCGTATAACCCGCATATAGCGGTTCAGTATTTTGATGATTTTAGCAACATTATTTACGGCAACTGTTTTAAATTTCGTATTTGAAGTTCCTAACGAGTAATACATCCTATGAAAATTATCTGTGCAGAACTACGTCTTTGTATAGCCCACATATAACGGTGCCTCCCTCTAATATTGATGTTATTAGCGATACTATTCACCGGAATTGCTTCAAATTTCATTTTTGAGGTTCGGAATCGGTGCTACAGCCTATGACAGAAAATTGTCTATGCAGGTCCACGTCTTCGTATAGCTTCCATACAACGGTTTTCATCCAAGCTATATGTTTCGATGGATTTTTTGGGGAATTTTTTAGTTCCTTACAAATGGTGGGGAGTATTCATAGTTCGGCCCGCAGGAAATTAGCTTATATTTTACTTGTTAAATTTTTATTCATATATTTTTACACCCTCCACCATAATATGGCGAAATCCTCATAACTTTTATGGTTTTATATACTATTCAAGTATTTTCCTTTTTCGGAAGGAATAATAGGAAAATGTTTAGTATTTCAAAGTCTTCAGCTCTATCCCTTCACCCAATATAAATTAAGTAACATTTAGTATCCATATACCAAATAATGTACATCTCCTCATTCTAGACCCGAACAGAGATCCAAAATTAAATCTAGTTAGTACTTTTCGAACAATTATAGTACACATTTCCAAAACCACCTCTATATCTCAATACCAGATACCAAGAGAGAACTCAATATCAAATTTGAGAATTTCATTTTCCCTTCACCCACTTTAAGTACTTTTCATACAAATATAAAACGCATTTCCAAACCAACGCCAAATCTCAAACCATCTTATGTATTTTAAATTTTAAAATTCAGAATTTTAACTCTATTCCTTCACCCAATACCTTATACAATACCATTCTATACTTTTTGTACAAAAATAGTACACATTTCCGAAACCACCTCCATATGTCCGGGCTACACATGAACAGTGACTTTAGTACCAGATTTCAAACACTATATATTCACTCAGTACCAAATTGTGCCAAATATGGTACAATTTAGTACTTTTCGTACAATTACTTTTCGTACATTTCCGAAACCATTTCCATATGTACAGGTTACGCATAAAGAGCGACCCTAATACCAAATTTCAGATTTCAAACACTATATATTTTACTAAATCAAATTGTATCAAATATATTACTATTTAGTACTTTTCGTGCACTTGTAGTACACATTACCAAAACCACCTCACAAACCTACTACCAACAGGGACTCCAATACAAAATTTCACGATTTCAGCTTCATCTGTTCACCCTAAACCAAAGTTTTCCAAATTAAGTACCATTTAGTACAGTTCACACACATAGTATACATTTCCAAACCCATCTTCATATATCAAACTTACTTTCCAAGATTTCTTCTTACACCAGTTTCCAATTATATACCTCTATCCGTACCATTTTAGAAGTTTAGTACCATTTAGAACATTTCGTGGGCTTTTAAAATTTTTGGTATATTTCCAAAAATTCACATGCACGTTTTTCAAAAAAATCTACGCACCAAGACTGAATCTCGTGAAAATGTCTCTCAATAAATATTTAATATACGTACAGCCCCATATAACAGAATTTCCAAATTTTATATATCATATGGTGGAGGGTATAGAAATTTCTGTCAAGTCGAACTTAACATAGTTTTTACTTTTCGTACTATTTCCGGTACCATTATTGTTAGTACTAGTAAGAAAGCAGTAAAACAATTAACACTCTTTATCATCTAGAATGTTGTACTTTTGAGACTAAGTGCCGTGATCTATTATTCGAGCGGGCTTTATTTTTGTTCTTCTATAAGAAATTTGCAATACCGAACTTTCATTAAAATATGAATAAAATTATTAAAATACGGAAAGTCGTAGAAATGTATAAGCTTAGATACTGATACCCATTACGAACTCCCAACACTAAATTGGAATCGATTCCGTTAACAAATGTGATCAAAATTATAAAAATATCGAATATTGGTAGGTACAGTTATATGGGATTGTACGTAAACCTGCAACTTCTATCAGAGAAGATGAACAATGTGGAGAAAATCATGAAAATATGGACCTGTATAAGCAAATTTACTTCCATTGGTACCCAGTAGGAAATAAAAATATGAAATTTGAAAAAAAAAGACGCTGAAAATGTGACGCAATTCATCAAAATATCGAATATCGGGAGGTATATTTATATGGTACCAAAAGGTACGTATTCGAAGCCACTTTCATTCCTAGCTTCAGAGTTAAACTAAATAAATAGTAAAACATTTAATACACGTTATTACTTTACATAAGCTTTATATTATTGAATTTTGGAAAGTGTATATGCCAAACTTCAGTTCCTGGTTGGTCAATATATGTAGTAACATATTTAGAACCCTTTAGTTACTTTCATAATTTTTATACGAGTTTTTAAAAATCCTCACACCGAATGTCAAAATTCTACCTTGAAACGAAATAAGTAGTCTAAATTCAACCCAATGGTAAAAAATTTTTCGAAACTTTAGTACTTTTTGTACCCATCTACTTCGAATTTTCAAAATTCCGTTTTATTAAACCCATTAGCACCAACAATGACCTTCCTCCTAATATTTACGATTTTAGCTCTATTAGTTTTATACATAAAACCTTCAAAAATAATTTTGTAATCACCAATAAATAAATAATTCACCCACACTCCATTCCACCCTAATGTTTACAACAATGTGCCGCTGTTGTCTTTGATGACACGAGAGGATTTTGTATTTAAAAATAGTGTCTACCAAAGTTAGTTTATTTTTTTTTTGTATTATTGCAACTTTGACAGTAACTTTTATGTCCTACATCATCGTCATCATCGTCATCATCACCATCAGCGTTCATAGATTCGCCATATAATAATAATCACTTGTAATATCCTAAGCCAGTAATAGGAACACAGATACACACATAGCCATACAGGCAGTGATATAAAACAATTTTGTGAAGAACACACCCCCATACGTATATATGCATGTATGGATGTGTATGTGTAACATATATTCAGCTGAAGCAGACATTTATTGTTATGATATGGACCACACAACGACACGTTGAAAAATGTTGGCTCACAGCTACATCCTCAAAGGTTTGTGACAATAAAAAACCCACTCATACATACAAACAAAAGTGATGATTTAATATTAGTCACATACACATGATTAAGTTGTATCCTAATTGGGTTAAATTTATTAATAAAATTCGTTGTGGTTTGGGGAAGTCCTATATTTCATTTGGTCAGTGGGCTATAATCAATCGACTGATGAAGAAATTGATTTTTTGTGCTGTAAGAAATTTGGTTTAATTTAATTTGCATTAAAATTATATGACATTATTACCAAAAAAATAAGGCGATTGGCTGACCGCCCAGGGACTGAATCTAGAATCTCGAAATTTTGATATTTGAAGGTGTAAAATTTTCAGTTTCACTTTGGTATATGAATGGATTTTTATCTCTTAGTATATTGGGAGTACAAAGAGTACTGAAGGTAAAAATGGCATGCTAATGTTATTAAGCGATCTAGAACTTTGCTCACCATTTATGTAAAGGTTGATTCAAAAATATTTGAACTAAAAGGATACGTAAGTACTCAAAATTAATATAGTGCAATATTGTTACTTTTTGGAAATTCATATTAGAGGGATACGGAGAAAGTAAAAGAAGAGATTTGAAATTGTGTATAGGGACGATTTGCCACGGGATTTTCGTACTTGACTGATGTGGAACGAACTGAAAGGTGCGAAATACTAAAAGGTACAAAATAGTAAACATTTGTTTCCGAGCGATTAATAAAAGCTAAATCTCACACTATTGCATGATTCACTATTTGATGCGATGCGTCGGTCTTCTTGGAAATGTGTGCTCTAAATTCAGAATGTTCCACAGACATAAGAGAAGCCAGAATTTGATAATATACGACGAGATTACAAAATAAATTGAAGGTAGAATATGGTCACTATTGTTATCATACGATCAACAAGGACCAAAAAGTGTGAAATTTTAAATCAGAGTCACACTCAGATAAGATAAGCCGTTTTTTTTAATACTTTCTTGAACGGTGCAGAAAGTACGAGAACTGCACAACATTGGTTTTTATTTGTAGGGCTTGGAAGTGTACATTTATACCCACGGTAGTGGGATGGGTTATTTCAAAACTTGGTAAGTTAGGAAGAAAAGTTTTTTTGTTTTTTTTTTTTAACCCATCTTTGTTTAGATGGAGAGTATCCGACTTGATCCAAACTTGATACATCATATTATTATCATCATCAAACTTAGATCGAGTTCGGAAATAGGCAATACCGGTGCGGCACAAAAAGTCTAAATTTTCAAAAAAGCTGTAAGTTCGGCCGGGACAAAATTTGAAAACCCTCTATAATGTGGGACGAATTTGTCAACATTAAAAAAAAAATAAAATCACTTAAAAATTCTGATAAAATCTTAAAAATACCGAATGTAGCCTTTATATTATGGTCTATACGACGACGTGGACCTACATATGCAACTTTTACCATAAGCCATTAAAATATTCAAATGCGAAAAATGAAAAAAATCGGTGAATGATGTAGCTAAAATCATCAAAATATGGAACATAGGGAGGTACTATTATTTGGGGGATATACCAAGACGTGTACCTGTACAGACAATTTTCCGTCATATCCTGTAATACCCATTACGAACTTCAAATACCAAATTTGATACAATTGCGGTGAAAATTTTCGCTAAACTCATCAAAAATACCGAATATCGGGAGGTACTGTTATATGGGGGCTATACGAAGACGTGGACCTACATGATAATATGATATGTCCTTCATTGCATAGCATGGAGTAAAAAGCACATTTTCCCAACAATGTTCAAAATATTCAGAAAGCAAATAATTGGCTGTTCGAAGATTCTAATGCATTATTAACCGTTAACCCCTTATAATAATATGAATAATAATAATAATAATAATAATAATAATAATAATAATAATAATAATAATAATAATAATAATAATAATAATAATAATAATAATAATAATAATAATAATAATAATAATAATAATAATAATAATAATAATAATAATAACAATAATAATAATAATAATAAATAAATAAGTAAATAAATAAAATAAATATTAGTCCAGTATTTTCTTCGCGTACGCTAACTTCAGATGTTAGATATTTTGAAACCCAGAGCTAACATATTTTTCATTAGTATTAATTAAAACTTTCAGTTTGGAACTTAATTCGAAAAATTATTCAGGAATTATCTTCGGTAACTTATATTCTGGTAACGAGACCTCAATACCTTCTTTGAAAATATATACCATAACAAATATTAAGTAGTACTTGTACTTTTTAATTTCCATATTTTTTGTTTTAAGTTCAACACATATACCGTAAAATTGCACATATTTAAATATAAATGACGTTTAAAATTAAATTACGATCTATTCCAAAAACCTCCTAAAAGTATGCTTTGGTTTTTCTCCTGCATTAGATGATTAAACATGCTAAATTCGTTTATCCCAGCACAGTGGCGAGCGTTGATAGTAACCCCTCGTTTCCATTATTTTTGTAGTTTTTCTTTGAACATTTCAGCAAGTACCAAAGCTTGATTGCCATTCAAATTCTACAAAAAAAAAAAAATAAATAAAATAAAATAAATAAATAAAATAACAACAATTCTTAAATAAAAATGCTAAAATACTCACTGCATAATCATATGGTTCCATGTGGTCCTTGCATCGTTTGTACCATTGTTTTATCCTGTTATATGTATGTAGATCAAAGCCAAAGGCCTCAATTTGGGATATGGTCACCATCAAGGTTAGATCGGCAATTGTAAAATGTTCCGCAGCCGAGAATTGCCTACCTTTGAGGATTTCATCAAACCAGCCCAATGCCTCGGATAATTTGGCTTTTTTTGCTTCATCCAGCGGAGCTCCCATGAACATGGTGGGAAACTGAAATTGGCAATTTTTATTTTTGCACGTATTCGGTAAATTCCATTACTTACATAATATTCCATCATACGTTGATATAGCGTGCCCAAGTCAAACATTAAACGTTGATCCACCAATGCTCTCACCCGCACATCCTTGGGATAGAGTGTATCTTCTTTGGCAAATGCTGAAACCATATACGACAAAATGGCTCGGCTGTAACGGAATAATAACAACAATAAAATAAAAATCCCATCAGCATCCATTTTAAACACTTTAATGACCTCGTAAACAATCCGACATTACATTACCTGAACCAGTAGAAAAAAATTCTTTTTGCCAACTTACCTCTCCCACAGGACTAAGCCGTCATCATTTAATGTTGGCACACAATGTTGCGGATTCATTTCGAGAAATTCCGGTTTCATTTGCTCCCCCTGCATGATGTTAATGACCTTCAGGTCAAATTCCACATCCAACATTTTCGCCAGCAGCAGTATGGAGCGGCACGGCGGACTCGGTGGCAAATAGTAGAGGGTGGGTGTCATGTTGCCGCCTCTAAGCAAAAGGCAATAGACAAATTCCTTAACAATTTGAGTTGTCTCTTGGAGCATAATTGAAAACGAAATGACCAAATGGTTTTTTGGCCTAGGCAATACAAACTCAAATTCGACCACCACATGAAATGAACAGCCAATAATAATATCAGTGGAGACAAAAAAAAAAACAAAAACAACAACAAATTGATAATTGCTTCAACGGTCAGTGTTCGATTTTGGAGGGGGAGGAGGGCACAAAGATACACAATAACTCGTTTAAGGAGTACTCAATTATCTAAGAGTAATTACCCCCCACAAACGCACAAATGTAAACATGTCCTGTGAACTCGTGTTGACATTGTTGGTACAAAAACACAGTGGCGTGAAAGTAATTAGGAAATTTCTAAATTTTTTTGTGTGACACAATCACCAAAATCGATTATATGATTTGTCCTGGAATGGGAGTTTTTCGAAGCCATTTCATAAATAATTTATACAGTGTCTTTAAAACAGTATTTGTACGACTCCATCTGCATTTAAACTCCAGAATTGGGAAACTGTGTCCCTTTAATATAAAGCTCCATATAATTCCGAATATTAATTGAACTAGTTCATAAGTCTAGTTCACATTTTACACCTACTTCAAATTTTTGTGTAGTTTTTTACTGTTAGCTTTATAACATTGCAAAGGCATTGTGGGTCAATGTTTCCTAATAAAATCATATCCCAATCTAAACCGATTTCAATCTAATTTGACAACATTTATTTTTGGACAAAATTCCGTCACACCTTCCATATTGCATTGAAATTGGAGATACATAGCGTATTTGGTGTATCAGATATACAAAATCGGCCGAAAATACCAAATTCCATTACACATTCTTAATTTCATTGGAATCGGATATATATGTCGTGTTTAGTGCATAAAATACAGGAAATCGGCCGAAATATCTACACGGTGAGATGAAAAAAATGCAACCAATTTCAGACTGCTGTCATTTATAAGGCACTCGTCCGACAGCTGTTAAAACTATTCCAGTGACAGCTCATTATGTTGTTTACAAGCGTACAAAAGTATTTTGGTGAGGATTTTCCAGAAAAAAGTTATTCGTGATGGAATTAAAGCGTGATAGTGTGATTTCTTTATATTTGGCTGGAAAATCACAAGTGGCTATCGTTAGAGCACTCCAGCATTTAAATGTGAGTAAATCTTTTGTGCCTTATAGCCCGACGTCAAGGAAGTGGACGGAAGAAAACAGCAACATCAGCAGAAATGGTTCGAAAAATAAAGAAACGACTTGATTGAAACCCGAGTTGTCGAAACCCGTAGTTGAAAAATGGCTCGTGATCTGACCATATCGCAATATTCCATTCGGCAAATATTGAAAAATGAGCTCGGGGTAAAGCCATTGAAATTCCAAAAAGTGCAATAACTTACAACATAAAGAAAATCGACTCAAAAGGGCTAAAGAGTTGCTTCGCTTGGCCGAAAGAGATGAACTACCAAAATTTGTTTTTCTCCGATGAGAAAACATTCGTTGTCCAGCAGTTTGTAAACAAACGAAATGATCTTTTTTACTTGCCAAAGAGGTCAGTTAAAAAATTGCACCTTCTTTTGGCCACTAGAACTCAAGCGCCGGCCATGGTGATGGTGTGGGCTGCCATAACAGCCTATGGTGCCTCTTCGCTCGTATTAATCGACAGTGGCATCAGAATAAAAGCCTTGGACACGCAAACATTTTGGCCGCAGACTTTGGACATTCCAACAGCACTCAGTAACATCGCACTCAGCATGCGCTACCCAAAAATTGGTTACAAAATGAGGTTCCTCGCTTCATTTCCGGCGCACAATGGCCACCAAAATCTCCGGATACCAATCCGATAGACTATTGTGTCTGGAGTATTTTGGAATTTAGGGCTTGGGCGTACATAGGCTTTGTTTGTCAAATATATATCCATATTCAAATTCGAAACTTGAAATAAAGGGTGAATAATGTAGCTAAAATCATCTAAACACCGTATATAGGGGGATACCGTTATATCGGAGCTATACGAAGACCTGGACCTGCATAGACACCTGTCACAGGCTGTAGCTTCCAATCGAACTTCAAACACGACATCTCAAACAATTTTGGTGAGTATTGTACCTAAAATCGTCAAATTACCGAATTTAGGGAGGTATTGATATATAGGTCCTGTATGAAGACCTGGACCTCAATTCTTGTTCTGTGAAAATGTAAAACGAAGACTTTTATAAAGGAAAGAATTGTAAAATGAAAAATTTTATAAAGTAAATATTTTTCATTTCATATTTTCATAGAACAAGAATCCACTCCCTGGACCTGCATAGACAATTGTTTGACACAGACTGTAGTTACGAATTCTAAATGCGTAATCTGAAACTAGTCCGGTGAGAAATGTCGCTAAAACCATCAAAATGCCGAATAAAGAGAGGCACCATTATATGGGGGCTATATGAAGACGTGGACCTGCACAAACAATTTTCTGTCTTAGTCTGAAGTATCCATTACCAACTTCAAATACCAAATTTTAAACAATTCTGGTGAATAATGTCGCTAAAATCATCAAAATAACGAATATCGGGAGGTACCATTATATGGGTTCTATACCAACACGAGGAACTACATGACCCATTTTAAATACCAAAAGTCCTTTAGACATAATATAGAATTGAGTAAAATTTTATCAACCTTTTTTATTTCGTTCGGCAGCTAGAGTGATTTCCACAGACGGACGGACATCGCTAAATCGACATAGAATTTTTTGCTGATCAAGAATATATACTTTGTGGGTTCTAAAATGTATATTTCGTGGTGTAACAAACGGAATGACAAACTTAATATACCCTACATACCATGGTGGGGGGTATAAAAAAGCCGTGAGCATGTGGTTTGTTGGTACGGACTGATGATATTGGTCATCAACATACTGGATTTAAAACAAGGGGCCTATATGAACCTGGATCTGTATATTTTTGTCATAGGCCGTTACGATATTAAAATAGGAAACTTGAAGCAATTCCGATAAATAATGTCGCTAAATTCATCAAAATACGGAATATTGGCGGGTACCATTATATGGGGGCTATACGAAAATTTGGAAGTGCAGAATAATTACAAATTTTAAATTCCAACTTTGAAACATTTGCGGTAAAAATGTGGTTTTATGGGTATTTTCTCACAATGCAAGCAAATCCAATTAAGGTCCACTTTTTGTATAGACCCCGAAATTGGATTTCTCATTTCATATATTAGTTTTTCAGTGGCCAGTTTAATTTCTCGATTTTCTGTATTGGTTTTAAGTTACAAGACTTGTAAACTCGAATCTTTGTTTTTTTAATTTTTGTAAACCCAATTTTACGACTTTACTAAAACTATTATGAAAACCTTTTTTTTTTTGAAGCGTAGGACATTATCACTGCCATTTAGCTGGGACTCTGACTGAGTTTGGGGCATTTGGTTTGTAAAATGCTTTTCACATAATTAACGATTTGCAAAAATATCCCAACTGACAACACTGTGCGTATTATTATCATTATTTTGCGTGCGCCCAAAACTATGCTTTATTTCACAATTAAATAGATAACGTAGATTTGAATTGACCAAACACCAACCGGATATCGTAAATTTACTTTGTTCTCATTTATTGTTGCAAATTATCAATTGTCTTTTGGTTTTCTTACTATTTTGGCTGTTATTTCATGGCGTCGCACACTTGCGTTTGATGTCTTGTCTTACGAACCGACCGGAACTACTTACTTGAGTTGATGCACAAACTTGTGTTGCACCACCTGCACTGAATCTATGCAATTCCCCAGTTTTGTTCGACTTTAATTGAATGCGCGCCCGGGCAATAGAGACTGGCAGACAGGCAGACAGACGGAGAGACACTTTTCCTTTGGTTAAATTATTCAAATGATGATGTTGTGGCCCCGTGGAATGGTTATCGTCTTATGAACGCTTTCGACTGAACTCTTGCCTTGCCCAGTGTATCCTCCGGTGGAAAAGGACACGTCGCAACGACTGTGATTACAAATGACAATGGTAATAACGGGCCAAGTGTGAGTGTGTAGCGTGGTGAGAGTAACAATAACTGTCTGTGAGTGGCGTCGTTCGATACGCTTCTCCTTGATGTGACGGTGGTCAAGCTTGCTTTATAGGTGGACATACGTTAGGTATGTATGAAAAATGTATGAATGGGTAGGATTGTTTGTTGAGGAACTTTTGAATTTCACTTGTGGTAAATAATAATAATAGCGCTACTGCTACCAGCCAATACGGCGGTAATGTTTTTCGTTCCTGGCTTGATTGTTATTCCAACATGTATTAGTTGTAATGAGCGTGTGTGTGTGTGGGTAGTGTTTACCAAAAACATGTTGCTAGGAGACAGACGATAATTTTTTTGTTCTGCCCCACTTAAAAAATCGAACAAATTTATTTTTTGTCCCATATGGGTGACTGCGAGTAAATTTGGATATTGGAAAGGAAATTTGGATATTGGAACGATATAATTTGCATGAAAAATAAGTAAGAAAATTTACCATTACCCAAGGGTAAGGTTTGGCTTCAGATTTTTCATGTTATACATGTTTATGTCATGTTTGTCGAATAGCTATTAGATATAATCTGAGTAGAAATATTACATACAGGGTGAGATAAAAAACCTGCAACCTACTTCAGACTACTGTCATTTCCAAACCACTCGTCCGACAGCTGTTAATATTACAACAGTGACAGCTCATTATATTGTTTACAAGCGCAGAAAAGCATTTTGGTGAGAATTTTCCAGAAAAAAAGTTATTCGTATTGGAATTCAAGCGTGATAGTGTGATTTCTTTATATTTTGCTGAAAAACCACAAGTGGCTATCGCTACAGCACTCTACTATTTAAATGTGAATACATCTTTTGTGTCTCGTACCATTGCTCGTTACCGTAAAAAACATGCTACCAGTAGCGTAGCCCGACGTCAAGAAAATAAGGAAATGGTTCGACAAGTAAAGAAGCGACTTGATCGAAACCCCCGTCGCAGTGGCCGAAAAATGGCTCGTGAGCTGAACATATCGCAATATTCCATTCGGCAAATATTGAAAAATGAGCTCGGGGTAAAGCCATTGATATTCCAAAAAGTGCAAGAACTTCCACCGCAACAGAAAGAAAATAGACTCAAAAGAGGTAAAGAGTTGCTTCGCTTGGCCGAACGTGATAAACTGCCGAATTTGGAACTCAAGCGTAGGCTATAGTGATGGTGTGGGTCGATGGTCGCTCTCCGCTCGTATTAATCGACCGTGGCATCAGAATAAATGCCGAATATTATCGCGAAAGTATTCTGGAGGGTGTATTAAAGCCTTGGTCACTCAAACGTTTTGGTCGCACACCTTGGATATTCCAACAGGAATGAGCAACATAGCACTCAGCACGCGCCACCCAAGAATGGTTACAAAATGAGGTTCATCGCTTCATTTCCAGCGAACAATGACCACCAAAATCTCCGGATACCAATCCGTTGGACTATTGTTTCTGGAGTATTTTAGAAAAATACCATAGAGAAACATTCAGGCAGCGTGTGACGGTTTCATTGGCCGTTTTAAGGCCATAATTCGTGCCAGAGGTAACCTATTCGAACAAATCTAAACTTATTCCAAAATTTGATGATATTTCCGACATTTTTCATTCAATAAAATTTAGAAAAAAAATTTAAATTATGGAGTTTGACTTTGTTGCAGTTTTGTTATCTCACCCTGTACATTTTGGGGCTTTTGACAATCTTTCGAATGACAAATTTAATTCAATTTTTTTTGGTCAAATCTGTCAACATTTTCGGTTATATAACCCATAATGACACTTTACTTCTACTAACTCCTTTAGTCATTCACAAATTTATTTCATGGAATCACCCATATGCCCGCCTACTTTTTCCTACAGTGACACAAACAAACACCAGTCACTACCCACAATGCAATGCAATGGATATAACAGAATAACTAAATATTCTAGTATCATCGAAGCATTTCCGTTGTTGACGTGCATTTGGTTTTCATTTTCACAAAGAAAATTTTCCACAACTAAAAATTCAACAACGTTTTAAAGTTTAGCCCAGTCAGCTGGTGTTGTTCTGGTTTTTTATTTGGCGGGACAGTTTATTTTTTGGGGGGGATTTTGTTATTACAAACTCATGCCGTATTCAATTGATGGCCAGATGGTCAAGGGAAAGTTGTTCTTGGGAAAGTTTTGTTCGAATTTACCCTTTTATTACAATGACTATACAACGGAACTAAATGCCAGGAATAGGGTATGGGTGTGCATGTGTTTGTGTGTGTAACGAAAAAAACAATTTGCAGTACCACAACCACAATTTGTAACAATTTATATTTCTGTTCAGCTTTTTTATTCTGCTCTGCTTCAGGCCGGACGGCATTGAGCGAACACATTCTAATGGGTCAATATACCCATTACAACATGGCGAGTGACCGACCACACGCTTGACTAAGCTTACATTTTCAGTAATCCATTTATATTTGTGGTTCCTTTTGGGTGTAATATTTAGGGGGTGGCGTGGGGTGAGTCAATGCTAATCGGAACATAATGGTGGCAAATCAGTGTTGGTTTTTTTGTTTTCACGGAAATGGTGTATTTAATTTTGATGTGTATCTTTATTCGAAAGAAAAATGTAGTGTAATAAATTATTTTGGTTTTACTATAAATAAAGGTGTATTTTTGTAAATATCATTAACTTTTATAAAATTGGCCATGTTTATAGTCGGTTTTTATTAGAAACAATAAAAACTTGATTTCTTGTAGTTACCATTGTAATGGTGAAGCCAAGAGGTTTAAGGTATGTTGGGTGGGTTCACATTTGTTTTTTCGATTCCTAGTCAAATGACGTATATAATAGGGTAGAACGTTTAATTTTGAGCATATAAATTTAAAATAATTAAAAAGGGTCAATTCAATTCGACAGTAAAACCTTATATATTGAAATAAATAAAAATCAAGTTGGAATTTATTGGTCGATTATGCTAGAATGCATTCCTCAGTCCAGATCTACTGTTGAAAATGTGGAAGTACTATTACAAGGTTTACACCTATTGGGATGTGTCAAAAAAGGTGAATTATTTTGGTTTTTTTTTTTTGAGAGAGGGAGCTGCTGAGACGAGTTGGACCACATCGTTGAATTGTTCATATATCAAAATTAAATCTGGCACTTATATTACAATTGTGGAAGTTTTTAAAAAATTGGACACTCTCTTCGTTTCGATGAGAGATATGAATTTATTTTGAAAAATTGATCGTCTGTTTGGGAGGTAAGAGAAGGAGTGGTTCGATATTTACCATATTGAAATTAAGTTTCATAAAAATAGAGCATTTCGTCAAGTTTGCGGCAATGCAGACAAATCCTTCAAGAATCACCGGGCGCATCAGCCTGCCGGACACATTTTCCCCAAATCGGTTAATATAGGATATAAAATTGTCTGTTGAAAAGTTTTTATCCTCTGAGAGCTCGAATATAATATTAGAAAAAAGTTTACCTTTACACAAAAATCTTTTCAAAATCGTTCATTTTTAAAAATTAACGAAGGAGAACATTATTAAACCATTGCACAATGACCTAATTAAAAATTTTTCCTTCGAAATCATGGAAACCAACAGTGACCTCAATATGAAATTTCAGAATTTCAGCCCCATGCCTTCACCCAATACAAAGCATAGTAACATTTAGTACGGATATCCAAAACAATTTATATCTCTTTATCCCAGACACCAGCAGTGATTTAAACTAAGTACTATTTAGTACTTTTCAAACAATTATAGCACACATAACCAAAAGCACCTCCATATTTCAATATCAGATACCAACAGAGACCTCAATATGGAATTTTGAGATTGCAGCTTTATACCTTCACCCAATACCTAACTTAGTACAATTATATAGTACGTACAGGATGAGATGAAAAAACGGTAACAATATTCAGACTGCTTTCAAATCTAAGCCAATCGTCCGACAGCTGTTAAAATTATTCCAGTGACAGCTCATTATATTGTTTATAAGCGTATGAAAGCATTTTGGTGAGAATTTCCCTGAAAGAAAGTTATTCGTGATGGAATTCAAGCGTGATAGTGTGATTTCTTTAAATTTGGCTGGAAAACCACAAGTGGCTATCGTTAGAGCACTCCAGCATTTAAATGTAAATAAATCTTTTGTGTCTCATACCATCGCTCGTTACCCTGATACTGGTAGCGTAGCCCAACGTCAAGGAAGTGGACGGAAGAAAATAGCAACATCAGCAGAAATGGTTCGAAAAGTAAAGAAGCGACTTGATCGAAGCCCGCGACGCAGTGGCCGAAAAATGGCTCGTGAGCTGAACATACCGCAATATTCCACTTGGCAAATATTGCGAAATGAGCTCGGGGTAAAACCATTGAAATTCCAAAAAATTTCAAGAATTTACACCGCAACAGAAAGAAAATATACTAAAAAAATAGCTAAAGAGTTGCTTCGCTTGGCCGAAAGTGGTGAACTACCGAATTTGATTTTCTCCGATGAGAAAACATTCGTTGTCCAGCAGTTTACTTGCCAAAGAGAGGTTCCTCGTTTCATTTCCAGCGCACAATGGCCACCAAAATCTCCGGATACCAATTCGTTGGACTTTTGTGTCTGGAGTATTTTGGAAAGCAAGGTTGGCACTAATAAATACCAAAGTGTCGGTCACCTCAAGCAAGCGCTTTGCCGGGCATGGGCCTAAATACCGGAGATCAACATTCGGGCAGCGTGTGACGTTTTCATTGGTCGTTTAAAGGCCAAAATTTATGCCAAATTCGAACAAATCTAAACTTATTCTAAAATTTGATGCTATTTTCGACATTTTTTGCTTTCAGTCAATAAAATTTAAATAAAAATAAAAAAAAAAAAAGTACAAATTATGGCGTTTGGTTTTGTTGCAGTTTTTTATCTCACCCTGTATATTATATATACCAAATTTTCAGACTTTAAAAGTTTTATATATTATTCAATATTTTCCTTTTTCGGAAATAATATTGCGAAAATGTTTAACTTTTACACCAAAAGGTCTTCAGAATCTATAAATTTTAAGCCATACCGAGGATGACATTAGTAAAACCATTGCATAATGGACCCACATCCCGTTTTTCTGTTCAAAACTACTTCAACGTCTTCACATGTTAACCCTAGGCAGTGACATCAATATCAAGTTTTAGAAATTCAGCTCTATCCCTTCAACATTCAGTGATTCAAAATTAGTACTATCAAATTGCAGAATTTAAGCCCATACCTTCACAATATACCAAACTTAGAACTATTTAGTACTTTTCGTACAACTATAGTCCACATTTAGAAAGACACCTATATATCTCACACTTAGATACCAAAAGAGGCCTCAACATAAAATTTCTGGATTCCAGCTTTTAAATTAATCCCATTGCCAAATTTAAAAAAACATGCTCCTTTGCTCAACCACTGACACCAACAGTGATATCCATAACAAATTTTTAATTTCAACTCTATTCCTTCACCAAGTAATTAATTTTGTACGTTTCATGAAATTATAGTACTCACATCTAAAACCAGCTCCTTCTCTCAACCACAGACACTAACTGTGGCATCCATATCAAATTTCAAGACTCCAGTCTTACCCATTCACCCATTACCAACTTTAGTACGCATATCTAAAACTATCTATAACACTCCATCCTACACACCAGCAGTGATCCATATTTAGCAACATTTAGAACTTTTCTAAAAATTACAGTACACATTTACAAACCCAACTCCATATCTCAATCCCAGATACCTACAGAAATCTCAATATCAAATTTCGGAATTCCAGGTCTATTTCTTCCCGAATTTAGTACCACTTAGCACTTTTCGTACAATTATAGAACGCATTTCCAAAAACTACCTTCATATCTTAACAACAGGCACTAACAGTAACATCCATATAATAATTCACGATTTAATCTCTATTCCTTCACCCAATACCCAATTTAGTTTAGTCTCCAAACGACAAACCGACAGAGACCTCTAATGACGGTTTTTACCGGAATTTTTTCAAATTTCGTATTTGAAGTTCGTAATGGATACTTCAACCTATGGCGGAAAATTTTCTATGCAGGTCTACGTCTTTGTATAGTCCCATATAACGATACCTACCGATATTCAATATTCAATTGTTTTCAATTTCGTTGATTTCGAAGTTCCTAATATGTACTACCGTCTATAACTGAAAATTGTGTATTCAGGTCCATGTCTTCTTATAGTCCCTATATTACGGTATAATTTTCAATGAAATTGTCTGAAAATCCACATAAGGAGTTCCTTCGGGGACTTTACCCTCTGGAATAGAATTGTCTATATAGGTCCACGATATCGCATGCTCCTATACAACAGAACTCCTCAATACTTGGTATTTTGATGATTTTAGTCGATTTAGCAGTGTCCGCCTCTCTGTCTGTTGTAATCACACTATCTTTCGAACGAATGGAGATAGAAGACTAAAACTTTGCAAATATGTGTATTTTGGCAGTAGGCATATTATTTTCGTATATGGGGCATGTAGGTCCACGTTTTTATATAGCCCCCATATATCGGTACCTCATAATATTCGGTATTTTGATAATTTTAGTGATATCTTTTACGGAAATAATTTCAAATTTCGTATATTAAGTTCGAAATAGGTACTACAACCTACGACAAAGAATAGCGTATGCAGGTCCACGTCTTTGTATAGCCTCATATAAGGATACGTCTCCATATTCGGTATTTTTATGATTTTTTAGCGACATTATTAACCGGAATTGTTTTAAAATTCGTAACTGAAGTTCGTAATAGGTACTACATCCTATGACAAATATTAATTACAGCCTAAAAATTACTTATGAAGGAACACGGCTTCGTTTGCCTCCATATAAGGGGTTTCATTGGAGAGGTATTTTTCCATAGAATTATTTTTTTTTTTAATTTTAAGTTCCTTCAAAATGGTGGTCTGTATTAAAAGTTCGGCCCAGCAGCACTTAGAAGGTTTTTTTACTTGTTTTTGTTTAAATTAAGAGGTATCCGATATTTTTAAACTTTGTCCGTTTGCTGAGAATTTAGAAAAAAAACTATTTTCGAGGACTTGCAGGTCCAGAATCCTGAATTCTAAACTGTTTTTTTATATTATTCTTCAAAAACTTCCTTCTCAATACCTCTTTAAACATTCCCTGATTTTTTGAAATGCTTTTTGCAGTGTATTTTCGGACAAAATTAGAAACTTTTTTTTTAAATCCTTTTTAAAATTTGGCAAATAATAATTTTTTCAAGGACTTACTACAAAAATATTGGTGATTTCATTTAAAAATTTTCATTGCCTTTTGTACCTTGTAGAAGAAGCCAGTTGGGTCCTCTATAAAACTAGTCGCGTCCTCCACAAAAATATTCAAAATTTCACCATATCGCTTTAAATTTCAACAAATCATGATCTTTACATTTATACATTATTTTATTACGAAGAAAATACTTCATGATATACTTAGATTACAACTTATAGCTAAGAGTCCTACACTTTAGCGCTAAACTAAACTACTCGTTATTGTCAAATTCTCGGTTGGGATAGGTGGGAAGGTTGCAGCTACATATACAAATTATTCGTATCATCATTCCTCGCCATTATTCACATAATGATTCTCTTCGGCATGCATTAGACTCTGCATTTCTTTGTATTTGCGAATGGCATTTCGTACAAATTCAGCAGCACGTCTCACCCGTTCCGGTGTCATTTCCTCGGCCAGCATGCGTCCGACATCGTCAGCACCAGCACCACGTAGATAGGATACTGCTTTGAAGGAGATATTGCAGATAGGTGTTAGATTGCAAATAGCCGTTGTAATGGCACCGCCAAACAAGATCATGGCCAATGCCCCCAAGGCGGTTAGGACCATTTGGAAAATTGTTGAACTCATCAGGGTGGTGAAAAGATTTTGTAGGGCAGTTGAGATGTTGCTAATGACCGAAGTGGAAGCAGCAGTACCGGTAGCTGCCAAATTTGCCGAAATGGATGGCACCAAAAAGCCATCATAACCCGTTTGAACAGCAAAGGGGCCAGGATAGACAGGAGCTGGTGCAGCACCATAACCAGGATAGGCATAGGGAGCAAAGGCCCCGGCAAATTGTGCCAGATATTGCTGGAAGGCTTCGGGTGTCAAATAGCCCGCATATACTGAGGGATCAAATGGTGCTGTGCCGGCTGATGAATGATGTTCGGGTAACTAGGAAAATGATGGCATTTTCATTAATGGAAACTCCGAATTTTGGAAAATTAACTTACCACATAAGTAGGATCTGCATTCGAATTGGATGTTTCCAAATCTGTTGCGTTGGGCCCTGGTGTCACCGGCTGTTTGGTTTTTTCTACTCCCACTGTTTCCTGTTGTTCATTATTACTTGAATTCCCCGTGGTCTCTAGCTCCACTGTTGCTTCTATGGGCACAGCCGTAACATGGGATCCCAACGCAACTATGGCTGTTACATAAAACAATCTAAATGGTCTCATTTTTTTATTTTCTTTTCTTTCCAAATTCACTGATCTTCACTGCCCAACTAACTTCGTCTGACTGATGTATTTTTGCAACATATCCTGTGCTATTTATAGCAAGGATATCATTTGTCCACAGGACAAATGTCCTTCCAACATTTTTAAAATTACTTTTGTCTCGTCTGGTTTCTTGGAAAAATACACTAGTCAATACATTAGTTAACACCGAGACAGACACCTCATTTTCCACAGGCGACCTTGTAACCGATCACAAATCACTTAAAAATTATTTGCAAAGGTCAGATTATGTTTCAGGCTGTGACTTAAGGACAGGTAATTTTCCTACATTTCCTCTATGCAAATATTGTGATTTTTCTTGGAAAATTTTTAGCAGGGTTTTGTTGTTGTTGCTGGTGTTGTTTTGATTCACAGGTATGCGCGTTGACAGATGCGTACAAGCACTCAAAGGGAATTACAACTAATAGTGCAACTGCATTGTCCCAGCAGATGCAAATGCCTTTGTTTTGTTGTTGATATTCTAACGTGGGCCGGTGGTACAGTCTGGGATGACTAAAAACGGAAGACCGGTAGATATTATTTTCGTTTCTACTTTAGAAATGGGAGGACCACATCAGATTAAAACTTAGAGATTAAATGTGAGCTCATGCAAACCCTACGGCAATCGTAATTTTCAAAACCAAAGCCCTATCGATACAGAGGCCATTTGAAAGAGACAAAATGTGTCTCATCAAAAAAAACGGGATTATACTCCGAAATACGTGTAAAGATATTTGAAGTCAAAGAAGCCAAATTTTTATAGAATTGGAATATGAACAATTTCTGATCACACCTTTTAGAACTATTAATGTCCAGGTTTTCTTCAAATTTTGCACATTCCAATATTTTTGTTAATATTTGATTTGGTCAATGTTGGTGGGTGATTCAAATTTCCAATTACGGAATTTAGGGTTACGAAAAGTTCTTAAATGGTGTAAGGATTTGGGCTAAGAATTTAAACAGATTGGCTTAGGGTGCACGAGGGTCTGGTGTGAAAATTCGTACTAAAATTGTACGCAAAGTACTAAATGTAATAATAGTTAAACATTTTGTATTGCACAAACGGAATGAAATGTAATTTAGAATTAGAGTCACTGATGGTGTTGTGGATAGATGTAGCAAAGTATTTTTGGAAATTCAAACTTTAAGAACGGTACTAAAATTCAAAAATGGTACTACATGGAATTAGGGCTAAAACTTGAAATGGGGCTAAAACTTGAAATGGGGCTAAAAACTTTAAATTGGATATGAAAACCACGGTTGGAAAGTAAGTTTAAAAGATGAAGTTGGTTTTAAAAATGTGTACTAAGTGTGCAAACTGTGCTAAATGGTACTAAATTTGGAACAGTTTGGCTTAGGGATGGCCGACTTAAGCTAGGATGAAGGCCGATTTAAGCTAGAATTTTAAAATTTTGCACGTGGATCAGTATTAGTGCTGGGGTTTTTAAAATTCGTACCTAAAGGGTATTATTTAATATTTTGAATTTGAAAAATTGAATAAACTTGTGTTCCGAAATTTGGAATAAGGAGGTTATAGAAATATGTACTAGGTGGGAAAACTGTACTAAATTTAAAATTTTTTGGTGTAGGGTGAACAGATGAAGCTGGGATTTTGACATTTTGTATTGAGTTCCCTGTTTACAAGGACGTAGTTTTGGAAATGTGAACTACAAATGCACGAAATAGTACTATATCTTGTACAATTTGGTATTGGTTGAACATATAGTGCTTGAGGTCGAAAATTTAGTTTAGGGTCGCTGTTCAAGTGAAGCCCTGAAATATGGAGGCGTATTCGGATATGTGTACCATAATTGTACGAAAAGTACTTAATGGTACTAAATTTGGTATTGACTGAAGGAATAGAGATAAAACTTTGAAATTTGATATTTAGTTTACTCATGGTATCTGTGGTGTTTGGCGGTGTTTGGGAAATGCGTCCCATATTTGTACGACAAGAATTGAGTGCAGTGATAGGGCGGGAATAATCAAATTTGATATTGTCGTTATGTGGAATTGAGATATCGATGTGGTTTTTATAAACTACACCACAAAGTGGAAAGAATATTACGTCTTCGTCCATTTGTTTGTAACATGGAGAAGGAAGCGAGATAGACCCATAGTTACTTTTGAGGATATTCATAGAACTTTGATGCACAAAATGAACATTGCGCTTGTGTGTGTGAGAGAAACCAAAAAGCACGTAAAAAATATCTCCCTTCTTGTTTTGGACGTTTTGTAGCAAGAATTTTAATTTTATGTAAGCAAAATTATTAAAAAACATTAAATATAAACTCCATATATTTATATTTTTCTACAAAAGCTATCTATAATTTGTTTCTTAATGTTAACGGAGCAATAATGCGTGCATCCCCACGCATGTCTACATTTGTTGAAGTCTATTCAACGACTGAGACCACCGCAAACGTACTGTTTTGTTCATCTAAGTCATAGAATCACTTTCTGAGTCGATTTATGCATGCCAGTCCATGTATTTTTGTGAACAAAATGCAGGTCGCATTTATTATGCTATTGAGATGAAATTTTGCAAACAATATTTGTTTGGCGTAAGGACGACCCCTATTGAGTTTGTGATAATCGGATCAGATTTAGATATAGCTCACATATATCTTCAACCGATTTCGGATTAATTGTGCACCAATTATTCAATATAAGTCCAAATAACCTGAATTTTAGCACATCCGACCGAATTGAGTCTAGAAGCAAGTTCATCGAATTCGGAGAAAATCGATTCAGATATAGCTCCCATATATGTTTCACATTCTACTATGCATTCGACAACAATGATACTTAGTACCAGATAACGGATACAACCCAGAAATACCTCTTCCAAATTGTATCCAGATCGGTTCAGATTTCTATATAGTTCTCATATATTTCTTCAACCGATTTCGGGTTAATTGTATTCAAATGGTGAAAAAGTCCTGAATTTTGTTCCATCCAACCGAATTCAGTCTAGAATTAAGTACACCAAATTTGGTGAAAATCGGTTCAGATATAGCTATAGCTTCCATATATATGTTTCACTCGATTTGATGTTTAAGTCCCTCACAATCGTAATACCAGATATCTTATAGAGCTCAGCTATACCTTTGCCAAATTTTATCAAGATCGGTCCAAATTTGGACTTAGCTCCCATATATATCTTCAACCGATTTCAGGTTTATTGTGCAAATAATGGCTAATTTCAGCCCGAAGGGAGTGAATTTCGCGACGTACGTTTCCGTCTCCGTCAAATTTAGTGAAAATCGATTCATAATAGGATATGTCTCCCATATATTAATTCCCTCTAATTGCTCTACTTCAAATAAATTCTTTTTTTACGGAGCTCTACTAAATATGCATAGTGGTGTAGGGTATTATATAGTCGGACCCGCCCGACTTACGACATTTCCTTATTGGTTGGAAATGTGAACTAAAAGTATAAATAGTTCTTAATTTGGTATGTAGAGATATATATAGAGGGGAATAGAGCTGCAATCTAGAAATTTAAAATAGATGTTACTGTTGTTGGTGGTTTTTGAAATTTGAACTATAATTGTACGAAAAGTACTAAATGGTGCTATATTAGGTATTGGGTGAAGCGACAGAGATAAAATCCTGAAATTTTTGGTTTATTTTGGTCCATTCTCAAAAAACACTACGGTTTATATTGGTATTAAAAGTGAGAGGAACTATTTTTTGATCAAAGCTGAGATAATATCAATTTTATTGGTATTATTCTCAAAAATATTGATCCGTTGTTGGGACGAACCAATTTGGCTCAACGAGGAGTGAGAGACAAACAGACGCTGTTATATCAACTCCAAAAGTCCTTAAACGGATTTCATCAAAAGAAACGTCGTATATAAAACAGTTCCTTCAATAAGTCCCTTTTTTCGTATCAAAAATTTAGAACGTGAAAAATTGACTTTTGTTGAAAGGAATAGTATTAAGAATATTATCAACTCGTAGTGTCCCAATGCTTCCAGCCAAAACTGTTATTGAGGACAGGGATTAATATTTACATATGTTTACCCACTGGTCTTAATGTTGTACACACTCACACACACGTCCATTTCCTATTTTGTTTTGCAAAACATTTTCGCAGACATTTAATGATCTCTAGGAGGAGACAAATGTAAAACCTTTGATTATATTTTTCTCCTCTTGTCTCACTATCCGCTAGCATTTTTGCTCAATTGACGGATAGCCATAGGACAGAAGATGCCATCAATTCCTCCGGCCCGATTTTCTTGCAGCAGCTAATGTATTTTGTCGCTGTAGCCTGAGTGTGATGTGTCAACACTGTCACTCATATATTTATGCCGCATCATATCAATTTATAAATACAGCTTGCCGACGGTATCTTTCGGCGAACATCCATCTTTGATTTGTTTTCAGTCTTTGATGAAAACAAACTGTTGATCGGCGTCTCTGTTGTTGTTTCTTCTTCATTTATTTGTATCATTCTTTTGCGATAAGCTCTGACAGCATTCCTTTCACTCAGAACGTAACTGTAGATAAATTCTATAGAAAGTCATAGTGAGTTCAAGTGGCTGAAGTAACTTTCAATGACTGGCTGCGGTAGGGGAAACAGTTTTGTGGGGGACGTATTGTTTTGACGGTTTCTTTATTCTTTCCTTCAAATAAATGAAGAAATATAATCATGAGTTCATTCAATGGCGCCTTATGACGCCCAGTGTGGGTTTTCCAGCAATGATTCAATGTTTCTTTGCGGTTATGCGTAAGCATGTAATAGTGTTTGCAAGTTTTTTCAAACTTTATTTGATATTTTTAAAATTGCTCACTTTGAGAATTCAATTTCAGATGATTTGAAGTCAATCTTGCGATGTCCGTAAGTTTTTCGGACTTCTGTATACGATATCACATTAAGAGAGCATTATATTATTATATATTATTACTAGCTTCCGAACGAAATGAAGTACGTTGATAAAATTTTACTCAAAAGTATATTATATCTACAGGACTTTTGCAATTAAAAATCGGCCATGTAGGTACCTCCCTATTTTCGGTGATTT